CAGGGCTCCGGGATGGGGCTGGATGGGATTCCCGGTGTCTCCCAGGGCTCCGGGGATCTCCCGGCATGGGGAGAACAGCCCCGATGCCACCCCTGCCCTGCTGGTTTTGGGGACAGTTCGTGGTGCCAGGCCTCGGTGGCATCGCAGGGCACAATTCCTGCCCCGGCTGGGGACGTGGCAGGGAATGGAGGGACAGATGGACGGACGGACAGAGGAAGGGAGGGATGGAAGGATGGATGGAGGGATGATGGATGGATGGATGGAATCCATGGATGGATGGATGGATGGATGGACAGACAGACAGATGGATGGAGAGAATCCATGGACGGATGGACGGATGGACACAGGGATGGGTGATGGATGGACGGATGGATGGATGGACGGATGGATGGATGGATGGATGGATGGATGGATAGAATCCATGGATGGACAGACAGACGGACTGATGGTGCCGCAGGAATGGGACACCCCACACAGGAGCCCCCCACCCTCCCAGCCTCTTCCAGGACCAACTCCTGGAGCTGATGGGGAGAAGAAGCCGCCCCCGAGGCCCACCAGGGTGACAGTGACAGGGGCTTTGCACCTGGGGGTCGCAGCCTTGCATGACCCCATTTAACCCCCTGTTCCCCAGAGTGCCGCCGCCTCCCTCTTCCCAGGACCATGGCGGCTCCTCTGCCCCTTCCAATCAGGAAAAGTTCGTTTGCCAAAATCCGCTGTCCCCACGGGGGAAAAGACGATTAAGTGAAGACCCCAGAGCCCGATATCCCGGCTTAGTGGGAAAATCCGTGCGGTTTCCCGAGCCGGGCACATTAGGAGCTCATGGCCGGTGGTGTTATCAGATTACAGACAAATATCAGAATTACAGCCCTGAAAGCCGGGCTTTAGGGGGGCTTAGCAATTATCCAGCCCTGGGCAGCCCCACCCTGCCAGGGAAACCAGGGCGACGCCGAGCCGAGACCCCCGGGGCTGAGGGCTGGTCCCAAACGGGGGGAGGGGGACAGGGAGTCCCCTCCATGGGTCAGGGTGTCCCCCCCATGGGTCAGTGTCCCCTCCATGGGTGAGGGAGTCCCTCCATGGGTCAGGGTGTCCCCCCCATGGGTCAGTGTCCCCTCCATGGGTGAGGGAGTCCCTCCATGGGTCAGGGTGTCCCTCCATGTGTCAGTGTCCCCTCCATGGGTCAGGTAGTCCCCCCATGGGTCAGGGTGTCTTTGGCCAGGGCTGGACCCCCCAACGTCCCTCCCAAGAATTCCCCAGGTGGAATGAGAGGGGAAGCTGCCCCTGACCCCGCCTGCCCCACGTCCCCTCACCTGTGGGACCCCTGGGGGGACTGTGGGGTGTCCAGGGACCCCCAGAGGAGACAAGAGACCCTCCCCAGGCCCCCTGGCTGGGCGCAGTGATCTCGCCCATCCTCAGCTCCTCAGCAGTGCCACCCCCCCGCCCCGGTGTCCTGCGGGGACAAGGGGGACACCGCCACCCCCGGGTGCTCCGTGTCCCCTCCCGAGCGAGCCGGGGGCCAGCTGTGCCCTGGCAGCGCGGGCCTGGCACGGCTCCTGCCCTGCTGGCACGGGCCGGGGCTGCTGGAAGGGCGCTGCCCCGGCTGTCGGGCACACGCGTGCCCGGGGGAGCTGGCACCGAGCGGGGCTTGGCCACCGGCCAGCGGGAGAGGGGCCGGGGGGGCCGGGGGCACAGCTGGACCCTCGGCCCGGAGGCAGCGGCCGCTGCCCTCAGCCCAGGGCTCCCAGGGCATGGCTGGGAAGGGGTCCCTATGCCACCGAGGGGTGCGAGGGGGGCGTGGGGGTGCCCGGCATGGAGGTGTGGGTGCCTGGGGGGGGGG